CTAGTCTTAAGAACGATTTGGCCCTGATTGAACAAAAAATCATAGTCTGAATATTTTCCTATCATCGCTGTCCTTGACGATAGGGTTACATACTCTATCTAGAAATCAATGGCTAGAACTTAACTGCACCATCATAATCTCTTCGACATGAAAAATACACTACCCGCAAGGACTTTGGCGATAGGATGTACTCCCTTTGTTTTTTAGTTTGTATATAAAGTTTGGTCAAAATCAAGTTTTATAAAGTTTGACTAACTTTATATTAAAAAATATGAACATTGTGAAATCAGTATAATCAGATGCACCATAAAGTGTATTTTCATACTATATAGTTTTAGTATTATAGATGTTTATATTTTTTTGATATAAATGTAGTCAAACTTCGTGTAGTTTGACTTTGAACAAATTTTCTACGTGAAGTAAAAAGAGATGGAGGAAGTATACGCCAGGTTAGGCAGCACGACATGCACGCATGCATGCATTGTATTTGAGTACATTTATTATTGTTTGATTAGACCACTCCAGCAACTTTTCACTAGCCAGCGTAGTTAATGCCCAGTGGCGTGTGTGCGTGAGTCCAAAGAAAAAGGACAAAGGCACGGAGTAATAGTATGCATCCGCGTGGAGAGAGAAAGGGAGAGCTAGCGAGTGCATTTTCACGTGTGGTGTGCATGTCACCAACGCCATGCTAGGGGCAACCATAGACTGACTTTACTCGTGGTAAAGTGTGACATGACATAAAACTAGACTAGGATATGTCTGTGGTCTAGATTAAGATCGATGTGGTATGGTAAAGTTCCAGGTGCTCCCAAGCCTTACTACATGCTAAGGCCATTGGATCTCAGGTCCGACGACATCTAATGAGCTTAGAGCATATACAACTGGGCACTCTATATCCGTCTCATACATCTGGGCAGGTCGTCCGGTCATTGACCGGTCATAAAATACCGACCCAGCCGAAGCTCTTAAACGCGCCTCAAACGCCCGCGCTGACCGGCACGCCTCATATCCATTCCAAATGTAGGGCGGATATGAGGCGGTTTGGGCGCCACATTAGCCCAGGCAACCATTCGCCCACTCCGACCCCACAAAAACCCCGGTCCGGCAGAAACCCTAGCTCACTCTGCTCCCCTTCCCTCCCCTTCTCGACGGTCCCATTTCCCCAATCTGCCAAATTCCTAGCGTCGGCGACCATGTCCAGCATCGGCAGCCACTCCGATGGCAACTGCGGAGAAGAGGAGGAGCCGGCGCTCCGTATCGCGCTCGAGCGCTCCCGAGTCGATACGGGCGGCAGCTCCGGGTCCGGTGCGACGCCCCATGTCGCTCGTCGTGCCCGCACCGGCCCTTCACGCCTCGTGCGGATCAGTGAGTCCTTCCAGATCTGCTCCTCCCACCCGACGCCCTCCTCCACCTCCGGTCATTGCTTCGCACGGGCAGCCATGGGTTCTGGTGCCCGGTCAACTGACGTCGCGGATGCGGACTCCGGAGTCGGAGGCACGAGCTGCCCCCCCCCCCTCTCCCGCGAGAGGCAAAGGGCTAAGGAGATGGCGGGCGCGTCCGACGGGTTTGCGTAGTCTGCCCGCCGCCGCCTGGTGCCCGACGAGGAGGACTGCCTCTTCGAGTGGGCGTGCCGCCGGTCACTGACTGAGGCGGAGACGAATGCCCGAGGGCTCCGGAGGCTCAAGGCCAAGCAGCTCCGGCTCGATATTGAGCAATCTAAGCAGGAGGTGGCAGAGGGAGGTGGCGAGGGTGGCCAAGCTCAAGCGCCAGCAAGACCACGTCGTCCGGCACTTGCAATGCTTCATCGTCATCTCCGATTCCTCCTCCTTCGACGGCTCCGACGTGGACCCAACTCCTGTCACAGACTCCTACGGCTGCGCCGGCGACCGAGTGGCAAAGGGCCGGCGGTGAAGTGGTGAACATCCGTCCTTATTACAAGTTTTTAGTCGTAGTTCGAACTTGTGTGCCGTATTATGTGTAATATGTGAACTTTGGCTATCTTTCGTGATCCGACTATGATCTTTTGATGAACCGATTGTGCATTTGTATGTCCGCTAACTGTCGTAATATGTGTAATATGTAAACTAACAAGTTTGTAACTACCGTATTATGTGTAATATGTAAACTAACAAGTTTTTAGTTTTTAGTTTATTACATTTTTCTTGTTGGTTGTGTGTATCATGATTGTGTAGATGCCATCATGCCAAGTGTGTGCTCCTCCTCCATTTCTTCTCGATTTCAACTAAAAAAAGGTCATTTGTTGAAGAAAAATAATACACGGAAGCGAAAGCACTTTTTCCTGAACAGCTTAGCTGCTCTGCTGGGGGCTCACCGGCTCGGAGGGGAAAGACGCCGAAGTGAGTGGGAGTTCATGGAACTCCCGATGCCCTCCCATTTCGCAAAGAAAGAAAGGCTCTTATCTGTTGGGGAGTCCCTTTAAAGCCGGGCTCGACTTGAGCCTTCGTTTAAAAAAAAAAACTTGGGAGCCATGTTTTACATGTAGGACCGGACACTGAGAGCACACGCTCTCCTCTCGTCTCCTTTCAGAGCAGAGAATCTCCCCATATATATGTCGCTTTTCCTCTCCTTTTGAATGCGGGAGTGCAACAGGAAACACTCGCTCTTCTCTTCTCTCCCTAGAGAGTCCACGGAGATCAGTTCTGCTCCAGCTTCCCGTGTCGGGACTCGGGAGCGAAACGGAAGCACATGCTCTTCCAACGCTTCTCTCAGAGTCTCCTCGAGGCTAGTTTTGCTCCAGTTTACGTCAAAATGGAGTACAGTTCAAGGATTCAGAAAAAAAAAGTACGGACAAAATGGCTATGTCACCTCGCATGCAGGTGCAGCTCCCTTTCCTCCAAATATATATGTCCTCTGCGTGTGCAGCAGACTATCCATGCGAGCATTCAGTCTTACTACTACTAGGGTTCTTCCCTTTTGGGCAAAAGTAGCTTCATATCAAATTTCAGAGGCGGACCATGCCGGGGGCGCTGTGGGGATGCCGTGGCGACGGCGGCCGATCTCGCCCAGCTGTCCGGGCTACACGCCGTCATGCTAGTCACCGTGACCACGAGCCTCCTCTGGAGCCCGCGGAGCAGGCGGGAGTGCGCGAGGCTCGAGCAGACCGCGCGCGAGCTCCGCGCGCTCCTGCAGTGGCCAACCGGCTGTCTGATCGCCATTCAGCACACGGATATGGGGGGCTTGGTTAACAAGGCTCTCCACGACGCCGACGGCCTCGTTGAGTCGTACAACAAGACCACGCTCTGGTGCCGCGTCTGGAACAGCCAGACTATGGTGGCCCAGTTCCGTGAAATGCAGAATCGCATAAGGTCCTACTGCGGGCTCGTGCTGTTCGTCAACGGGCATCTCCTGATGCAGCCGATGAATCCCCCGTCAGAGCCTAGTGCTACGTGAGATACTCGCCGGATCCTCTTTTGCGTGTTCGATATTCGACGTCGTCTCATGTTTGAATTGGCAACATGTGCAGGATTCATCATCAGGTGAGCGACCCATCACACAGTGTGCAAGCAGCAACTCAGTGTCCCAACAGTATTGTTCAGGAATGAGCTGGCCGTCAGGCAGGCAATACCGTCGACCCAGGATGTGAAATCCTGCCTGATATAGTAGTGATTTCCAATGCATGACACGGTATGAGCGGAGATTGGTCTTAATTGTTCCTACCTGGTTGAGTTCTGTTTGAATCTACTTTCAGACATTGTGTTACTACTTAGTACTGGGTTTGTTGGCATGATTTTTCGATGGTGTAGACACAGAGCAGTTGTGTATGACTCGTTTATGGCTGTATAATGTAGTATTAGCTTGATACTTCTACACACTCTGTATCGAGAAATAAAGTCATGTGATCCTTATAACGTTATTTTTCTCGTTATCTTATGTTCCTCTCGTTGGCTTAATCGGAAACAGAACAGTCTGGGTCAAGGCTTTGCCTAGATAAACCTGATCAGGATGAGGGACCAAACACATAGACAAGGAGTCAAAAGAAACACATAATTTGGTGCCCTATGATACAAGAAAATTCCACCATGTGTATGCCTAAATTCTGGCAGGATGCTGTGGACTGCAATACCGCATACAATTGCGCAAATCAGACATATAAAGTGGCCCTTGGCCTATTAACACAGAAAACCCCTTTGCAACTAGGACAATCACATGGTACTAAATATGATGTGACAACGTCATCAACAGAACTCCCAGCATACAACAATACTACAAGGTAAAACAAACACCAGGATTGTGTGGCTGCACCCTGTAGCTGAGCAGAACAAATCATGTCTGCACACTCTGAATCATCCTACCCTTTAACATAAGCATATTTTTACCAAGCTGGGCACACATATGTATCAGCTTGTGCAAATATTGACAAGCACAGAAGAAGAAAGATACCAAACTTTGGACCATTTAGCATTAAATTAGATCAAATTGGAGAGGAAATGCAAGCATTAAGTCGCCCATAACATATATAGATGGATACTAAGTTTTCCATTTTAGGCGAATACAGACACAGGTTTCTACTAGACCACACATGCATGGCAACCATAAACAGAGACTACGGGCATGATAAAAACTTGGACCTAGCTAGCACTCCTACCTGGTTATCCTTCAACTCTTTCTGCTCCGTGCAGACTTGAGAAGCTCAGGCAACACCATAGGACAGCTTGCCTCCAGATGCTTATATCCGTCCGTCGCCAACACAGCATCAAGGATTGCAGGAGTACTAACAATGAAGTCGACACACTTAACCTTGAGCTGTGGGCAGTTGTGCTGCTCCGCTAAAGCCAGATTGTCGCTGCCGTGTCGACACTAATGCCATCAGAGAGCTTTCCTTCGCAGATCTGCTTGGGCCTGTCCAATCCATACCTGTCGGCAGCTGCAAGCAGATGCTGAGCCAGCATCGTCACTCTCTCATGCTGAAGACTGAATTCCAGAACCGAGTCAGTGTAGATGAAGTAAAGCAACGGCTCGAATACCTCCGCTTTCATGTCCTAGATCTCCACACAACGAGAGCTCGTCTCCTTCATGTCCCCAAAGAACTCCGCCATAAGGACAGGGGACCTTGCAGCGAGAATGAGCTTGTGCGCAGCGAAAGACTTGCCGGACACAAGAAATGTGACATCCGCTTCCATTCCACTGCGCAGGAGTTCAGCCAAGTGGTCTTGCAAGCTAGGTGATGACCCAGACCCAGACACCTCTTTAGCCGAGGTTGTTGCTGGTGCTGGCAAATCCTCCTTAAGCACGGTGATGGTGCATTCCACAGTAAAAGAATCATTTCGGAGAAAACCAGATAACGGTGAATTTTTGTCAGAAAGGACCACATAGGTTTTCGTATTGACAGAAAAGACCATCTACACACCATATTGTCAAAAAAGACCACCTGCCCGTGGCGGCACGGCCGGCAGCCGACACATGGCACCTGCCGCCACCAGCGCAGGCGGCAGCCTCGGCTGCACATCATTTCTCGTCCGCGTGCAGATGCAACGGAACGGAGCGGCCCAAGTGGGCCCGGCCGCCACTGCCGAGGCGGCAGGTGCCGCTGGTTGCTACTGCGCGACGGGACAACACTCTGGAAACAATCCTCGGGCGTGGATACAATACAACTGCATGCATGCACGTTCTATTGAATAGTGTATTGTACAGACTGCTTTATACTCCATAAAAAACGATGGACTGAGGATTAATTGCAGGTCGGCCAAGAAGTCGTGGCACTACGCAGTAGCGGCGGCAGGAAAAAGCAAAGCCCCAGACAGCCTTTGGGGCACTGTAGCACTGTAGCTACAATGATTCTCCAGTACCCAAAGGAAATTGGTCTCACGCCCCAGGCAGCGGCCCGGGCTGCCTGGGCCTGTCTCCGCCACTGGCACTACGTACTACTAGTATACTGCCAAGTGCCAACAACGGCTCGTTATACAGAATCCTATACTGCTGTCTCTTTTGAACCTCATGAATCCCGGCCCATGCATGCAAGCAGCAGTACCAGCCGCCTCGAGGCGTGGCGGCAGCCGACACGTAGTCCGTACTGCCGCCGCAGGCAGTGGCGGCAGGACCCACCTAGCCCGCTTCCGTTTCGTTGCGTTTGCGCGCGGACGAGAAATGCCGTGCAGCCAAAGCTGCCGCCTGCGCTCGTGGCGGCAGGTCCTGCCGCCCCAGGCTGTGGCGGCAGGTGCCACGTGTCGGCTGCCAGACCTGCCGCTACGGTGTAGGGGGTCTTTTTTGACAATACGATGTGCAGATGATCTTTTCTGTCAATATGAGAACATAGGTGGTCTCTTTTGACGAAAATTCGATAATGGTAGCTTGCCTGTTGATATGACACGAACAGGAGGTGAGATATTTTCTAGGGCGACAGGCGAGCACTTTACAAGATAGCAGAATGTCCATGGGCGGTTAAATATCCATGACACGCTCCCCCCTAATGGTACACGGGCGCCTGTGAGATCAACCAAACGACAGCTGAGGTTGGCCCTCACAATGGACGGGCAGGTGTCACTGAGAAACACAAGCTTGGCTGCCACGCACCGAGTGCCATCTGTATCTCTCATGGCAGGGTAAATGCAGATCTCCCACTCGTACCCACCAACGTTCCAACTGGATCTGATGCAATCCCCATGGCCCATTGTTTCGGTGGTGCAGTAGCCGTCAATCCTAAGCAGCTTCACCGAGCGCACGACATTGGTGATGTCCTCGCAGGCATTTTCCATGGTGAAGGCTGGATGGGGAATACAGGGGAAATTAAAAGTTTTTTCTTTTGAGTCAGATCCTGAAATGTAGACGTATCCAGCGTGGGATCCTCGTTAGGACTACTGATAATACAGGGTTACACTTGAGAGCGCGGCGGAGTGGAGGCGACGAGCAGACCGGGGGGAGATTACTCACCGCGCCACTGGACTGGAGTACGGGTAGCCTCCCAGCGTGCGCGGGGTCGATCAATTGGTCTCCCGGCGTCCGCGGAGAGGATCAATGCGGATAGATCCGTGCTCCGGGGGGCGGATTTGGGCTCCGACGAACCGCACCAGCCATGTCTCGTGGAGTGCGGTGGCGAGGAAGAGCCCTGGGAGTGGGGTACGGGGGTGGAGGCCGGCGCAATGAGGGATCGAGGGAGAGAGGAAGAAGAAGACTGCGGCGACTGCTGTTGACGGCAGGAAAATGGAGTGGGAGGTGGGTAGTTGACTCAAAAAGTCAGTTTGGAACCCAGGTGCATTGGACTGGGTTTAATAAAAAAAACTTTGATAAAAAAATTATTTTAGTTCTTTCATGTAATTTAGATAAAGCATGTATAATGGGTTATTTAGTCATAAGACATGTAACTACATATCTTTAAATATATGTTGAGAGAAATCACGGTAAAAAATCATCTCCTAATTAAGCGAAAGCAGATCCTTTCTTCTGGGTGTCTCTCATCTTACAGTTTTAAGAAGTTAGTTATAATTCTTTTAACATGCAAAGTATCTACTTAACGTCCCCCTAAACAATGCATTTAAGTCTTTTCTCCATCATGCAAAATCTACCACATAAACAAGTCATGTATTCATTTATAACTTATAAGACTAGTCATAGTGGGGAGTAACATACATTAGTGTCATGCATATAACACTAGTCTATGTTACTATCTTCATAGTGGAGAGTAACATAGAAGTAGTGTCATAGGTGGTCGTATTTATTAGCTTATAGACTCATCTTGCCTTGGGAAGTGTTATGTGATGGTAACATATTATGTTACTCTAAACACCTCTTTCCTCATTAATTACATGCCACATAGGCAAACTTATTTCGGGGTACGTTATGTTACTAGCTAAGTTACTCCCACTATGACCAGCCTAAAATAAAATTGTTTTTTGCACTATTCTAAGTCACATCACATATTTATGTTAGTCATCCTTCACATTTTTATATGAAATGGCATTTTTAATTGTAATTTAAAAGTTTTATTCTATTTTAAACACACTCTTTTATTATTTTTCAAGCTTATACTTTCTTTTCATGACATTTAGTTATTTTTAACAACTACTTACACATTTTTTTAACAAAGTTATCGCAGCAACACGCGGGGAGAGAGTCATCCCACTACTTTATTTATCTTGACATGCACACATGCCAACTCAACTATCATGCCATATCAGGAATCATGCAATTAAACTATCAAATTTCTCTGCTCTACCGTGATGCCATGTCATCACTTATGTTTTCATTTTTTTTTCTTTGCTTCAGTTTACTAACCGTAAGTTCATTATCTCCTTCATGCAAAAAGAAGCAAGAAACGGTTGGTTGTTCACGTCCCCACTATCTCATTGATATTCAACTTCTCCACGAAACAAGTCTAGGAGTAACAGCTGAAGGCACTGCTTCATTTCCTCATAACATGTTCTTCTCACATGAGTTTTTCTAATAAATAGCAAGGACCTCATCACTTGATGATGATTCATGATTTTTTTCTTTTCCCTTGCTCGATCTCTTTCTGTAGAATCCAAACCAACATGGGTACTATACGACTGTACATACCTAGAGGTTCAGAGGCTGACGTTGGTGCACAAATACCATGACACTAATTTAGTTGTGGCCGTAGACAGCCTTGGTGCCGAGATAGGGATAACAACAAGGCAAGACGAGAGGGCGAAGCACTACATGTCATCGACCATGCCGGTCAAATCGGACGAGGCTCCACGGTCGCGGGGCGCACTGCCACTGAGAATGTTGCCGCGAGCAACACCATGAAGCCACCTCGATCAGGCCATATGGCCCACTTTCTCCCGCGGCGCCATACAGCCCAGCAGGGTCACGCATGCGTGTGTCCTACATCTCTTACTATTTCTCCAGCACTCATCACTAGTCTGATTTACATATGTTACACAAGCATGTCATTGCATTGCGTCACCGCCTCTAGGTTACCTGATTGGCCTCCATCTGCACGCTTCACCTACTCCTCACAACATCTGTTGATTCAACTACATCACATCCAGTTATTGTAAAGGGGGAAAATAGCCTTCAGGTACGGCTCTTAACTCTCGTGCTTCCTTTGTACTATTTCTAGCATAAACTGCCACGACGTCTATTTTACGATCTAGATGCTATACATACATATAGCATTATGTAGTCACATATCCGAGAAAGTTTAGCGATGAGAGTTCATCCAAGGTGCAGACATGTAATTTGTATTGCAGTATTAGTTGCTATTTTTTAGTAGCAGCACATGAGATGTACTGTCTTCTTTCCATTGAGATGATCAAAGGTAAGATCCTCTGCAAATTCGGTTAGGGAACTGATCTTACTAAGTAGGTTGATTTCAGAGTTACACATTAAATGCAAGCCATCTTTTGCTGTAAAACATTTTTATTTTTTTATTCTTGTTTCCCTTACCGTGTGCCCCTCTCCTTCAAATTGTTTATTACACTATCATCCACTGCAACGTGCGGGGTATTGTCTATAGTTCATCTCAACATTATTCTACGTGGCATTGCTAAGATAGCGCCATTGTACGCACCCTTAGTACTCTTGGGCATTTCAAAAGCGGAGCCTTAAGTCATCAGCAAACATCTAAACCAAGTAGTCTAGGCACTGCAAGTCATCCAGCCAGCCAGGTCTCGTATTTTTTCATGTACTAGTCTGACCGTCGGTTTTCCCCTAAATTGGAATCAAACCAAGGAGGCCTGCGGGAGTCCAGACTTACACCACGTAGGACTCTGACACCCCAGCTCACACATATGTAGCGGTCCAGACTGTTTCGGCACCAACCCTCCCCCTTTCTTTACCCTCTCTGCTCTGATCCCCGCTGTTCCCCACCCCAATTCCTGCATGTTTCGCTTCTGCCGCCGCATGGACCTACATGAAGATCTGCCGGAGCCAAGGGAGGTGGAGAGTCCATAGAAGCTGTCCACCCGGAAGATTAACTCGACGACACGGCAAGCCCGCCACCTAAAAAAAGAAGGCAAATGATCAAGAGGCTGGCAAAAAGAAGGGTGATGGGGATGGCGGTCAGGGCCGGGGACGAGGGGCGTCGGCGTCAGAGCCGTCAATGCACACGTCGTCCTAATCGGAGCAATATCAGTCGCCTTATTTCTATGCCACCAAGCATCTCGACCGATAGGATTAGTCCCTGACCTCCGCCGCCAGGTATGTGTCGTATTATGTCGACCTCAACGCGATGCCATTTTATTTCCCCGACTCGTCGCCTCAACTTGTCTGGCCAGGACGCATGGCATTGTATGTTTTGTGCAACATCCTGACTCATGGATCGAATATATTTATACAAATTTGTAACAAAGTTAATAATTGGTTCATGTGGAGATTGAAAGGGACCTAGCAATAATTGATGGTGAATTTCTCTTCCAATTTTGAGCATGCAAGCTTAGTGTGTTGTTTGAATGCTTTATGCATGTTCGATCTCTTTTCGTGAGCAGGTCATGACCAAGTCTTTTTTTTTGATAAAGGACATTTCACTGAATTGATTTATCAAGGTGATACAACCCATCTAAAGAATGTCCAACCTATGCATAACATGATGCACACACCTAACAAGTCCAAACGACCGAAAAATAAACATTGTTTTGCGGCAAAAATAAATCAATCCAACCTAGGGTGGGGCAGATCCTATACGGGGATTACACCGCCATCCATGGAGGGAGAAAACCTCCCTGGCCGTATGCTCCATCCATGTAGACACCGTCATAAAAAAGTCTCTGGTGTCCGACTTCTGCAGGATAGACCAAGTACGGAGCCATCGCGCACATGCATGAAGAACCTGCATAGGAGAAGAAAACACATTTATTATTGAAAACAACATCATTCCTGGTAAGCCACAATGCCCAACATAAGATAGCCGCCCCCACAAGAAAATGTGCAGAAAATAGTTTATCAATGTCCTGTAACCAATTGCCGAACATGTTACGTGCACTACGTGGGGCGTATAGATTTGAAGCTACTTGAACTATGGCCCATACTGCACGAGCAAACTTACACTCAAAAAATAAGTGTTTAATAGATTTGTCATGTTGGCAAAAGACACGTGTCTTACTACCTTGCCAGTTACATCATGTCAGGTTATCTCTAGTTAAGCTGACCCCTCTACTTAATTAAAAACCAGAGGAATGTCTTCACTTTTAGAGGTATTTTTAGCTTCCACAATTTTTTGTTATCTACGGGAACATCAATATGGGCCATCACATCATACAAGGACTTGACTGAGAAACTACCCTTTTGATGCAGTTTCCATCGAAACTTGTCTCACTCGCTTATCAGTTGAATATCCTCCAGACGAGAGAGTAATTCATTCCATGTTGCCAGGTGAGGGCCAAAGAGGTCCCTACGAAAAGAAATATCGGGGTTTTATTGTTCTAAAACTTGGTTGATCGTGACAAATTTATGTCTGACAATCCTGTACCAGCTAGAATACTGCACCATAAGCGGGGTGGCACCTAGCTAGGTATCTTTCTGGAATCAAACATGAGAACCATCCCTAACTGAGAAAGTACCAACTTGAAAAAAGAATTCCTTGGCCTTCATGACACCATACCGAAAATGTGAATCACCGGGTTTGCAATGAACTTGAGAAATGGCTTTGGACCACACATATTTGTTACGAATGATTTCCTGCCACACTCCATTCTCAGTGAGTAATTTGTAAACCCATTTACTCTGAACAAGTCTTGACTATCCTAGCGAGTGCTTAAGCCAAAGATCTCCAGGAATGCAATTTATGCTAGGTATG